AAAATTTCAGAAAGTAAAATCTGCCACTAATGAACAAAGTAGGCTTTGTCTAAAGGTCCATAACTTCCAGTGGAAATCTTGCATAGCTCTGACCCTCAGGTATTAGAAAGAACTGGGCAAAGCATTAAAGAGAAGATAGAGAGAAGGAAGGGAGGTCTCTCTTTATCCTCCACCTCTGGAAAAATTAAGGTTTTCTACTATGACCCCATCAAGAAGAGATGCTGCTTTTATCCCTGGCAACTTGAAAAGCACAATTTTACTGTAATTCTGGGTTGAGGGTAAATTTTAATAGTGACTAGCCAGAATATCAGCTATTTTTTCTTTAAAAAAAAACAAAAAACAAAAAAAACTCTTGTAGTTTCCAAAGTTTACCTCTAAGTAGAAAGAAGAAATACACGGTTGTGACAACAGAGTATCCAAAAAACCCATGGGAGCAGAGAGAAGGGTCAACTATTTTTAGTCAATATTCCAAATTTGGTCATAACAGATAATCTTTTAATAAGGTCATGAGAGACCCCCTACACTGTCACCTCCTCTTGAATTCTGGATTACAGGAGGAAGGAATTGTTTCCTTTCTCAGAAGAAAGCATTTATTGATAGACCCAGGTAAGTACGAAAAATGTCTCTGGGGAGGGCGGGAATGAGGGGAAGAAATACTACATTCCTAAAAGCTGTACATATGAAATTTGTATTCATTAATAAAAACCTTCAAAAAAAAATGTCTCTGATCATTCTGACAGTTAAATACTACTAAATATTTTTCTACAAAGTTCCATGAAGTTTATTTTTAATTTGCCTATCTATATGTATCCCTCTTTATTGCTGCTATGTGGCTACAGTAAATTTGATTGATTTGGCAATTCCTTAGGACTGTGCCTCTGAACAATTTTTCCTACCACTTTCTCCCAAATTATCCCAATAATCAAGAGGATAATCCATAACTATAAATTTCAGAGCAAAATGAATAAAATGGTGATGGAAAATGAATGTAGGAGGGGAAAAATTATCTTTTAAAGTAATATATTCCTATGTAAAACCAAAGTAGGGGGTAGGTGAAAAGGATAAGTTAGTGAAACTGATGAGGACAACTGCTTTTTTTCCTTGAATGGATATCACACATAAATTCCTACTCTGCATCCAAATATTAGGTAACTTCAAGAAGTTCACAGATAATGGAATTCAAAGCTAAGTATTTTAGCAAAAAAAAAAATGTTTAAGTCCATGCATAATTTTTTCATAATAGCTTTTTCTATGCACTTTTTGAAGATCTCTCAGAGTCAAAGTAGTTCACCAGTTGTTAGAAACATCCTGTGGTAAAAACTCTAGTTAGGGTGGCCAGCACCATGCACAGCAGGTTAGGTCACAGCCTGTAGCTCTAGCATCCCATGTAAGTGCCATCAAGTCCAGAGTCCCAGCTGCTCCACTTCCAAGCCAGCTCCTTGTTGGTGTGCCTGGGAAAGCAATGGAGGATGGCCAAGTCCTTTGGCCCCTGTACCCACGTTAGGGACCTAAGGAAATCTGGCTCCTGGCTTTGGGCTGGCCCAGACCTGGCCACTGTGGCCATTTGGGGAGTGAACCAGTGGATGGTAGATCTCTCTTTCTGTCTGTCTGTCTGTCCTTCCTTCTCTCTGTAACTCTGCCTTTCAAATAAATAAATAAATCTTAAAAAAAAAAAAAAACACAAAACTCAGGTTGGATGCTCATGTAATATATCATAAATGTGTCTATGAATCTTCATGTAAAGCTTTTTTATTTAACTCTTCTCTAATAGCTGTTGACTTCCATCATAAGTCAAAGGGGTCAACTAACTTGGAAAAAAAGGAGTATGCCTTAACCCTAAACAAATTAATAATATTTTAGATTTTTTAAAAAAATTAGTTCTCAACTTCTTGAGGGTCTAGATATGAAGTACATCTATATAGGTTCCTCTAGGTCATTCACAGTGCCTTGAAAATAATAAGAAATCGATTGACCATATACACTCACATGTTCTGTATACCTAGACTTGCCAAACGTAGTACAACTAATTTTTTTTAAATTTATTTGAAAGTTAGAGTCACAGGGAGAGAGAGACAGAGAAAGATTTTCCATCGTTGGTTGACCCCCCAAATGGCTGCAATAGCCAGTGCTGGATCAGGTGGAAGCCAAGAGCTTCACCTGAGTCTCCCTTGTGGGTGGCAAGGGCTTCTGCTGCCTTCTCCAGGCCATTAGCAGACAGCTGGATCAAAAGCGGAGCAACAAGGACATGAACCAGTGCTCAGATGGGATGCTGGTGTCAGAAGCAGTGGCTTTGCCTGCTGTGCCACAGTGTCAGTCCCCATTAATTTCAAAGTTCAAAACTAAGTGCTATATTATAGGCCTAGAATAGTAATCAATTAAAAGTTCAATTTACTTTGTATACTTATCCAATAATCTGGTAAGACTTTTCAAAGAGTTGTTCACTGAAATGTTTTTAAAATCCCATTAAGAAACTATAACATTTGAAAAAAGCCTTTAAGGGAATGGGAATGGTATAGTTTTCAAAGCTACAAATTTTTAAAAAGATTTATTTATTTGAAAAGCATAGCCGGCGCCGCGGCTCACTAGGCTAATCCTCCGCCTAGCGGCGCCGGCACACCGGGTTCTAGTCCCGGTTGGGGCGCCGGATTCTGTCCCGGTTGCCCCTCTTCCAGGCCAGCTCTCTGCTGTGGCCAGGGAGTGCAGTGGAGGATGGCCCAGGTGTTTGGGCCCTGCACCCCATGGGAGACCAGGAAAAGCACCTGGCTCCTGGCTCCTGCCATCGGATCAGCGCGGTGCGCCGGCCGCAGCGTGCCGGCCGCGGCGGCCATTGGAGGGTGAACCAACGGCAAAGGAAGACCTTTCTCTCTGTCTCTCTCTCTCACTGTCCACTCTGCCTGTCAAAAAAAAAAAAAAAAAAAGCATAGTCACAGAGAGGGAGAGAGATAGAGACAGAGAGAGAGAGAAAGAGATTTTCCATTCACTGGTTCATTCCCTACATGCCCACCATGGCCCATGCTGGGCCAGGCTGAAGCCAGGAGTCAGAAACTCAATCTTAAGCCATTACCTACTGCCTCCCAGGGTGTGCATAAGTAGGAAGCTGGAATGGAGAGCAGAGTGAGGCACTCAGATATGAAATCAGGAATCACAAGCAGCATCCCCTATCTCTGTTTTTAATTTCACTTCTCAAGCTGGATAGTGTTCCCAGAGGGTTCTTTATGTTTTCTCTGTGTTTACTTATGAGACATTTTATTTTTTTTTTTTAAAGATTTACTTATTTATTTGAAAGGCAGAGTTACAGAGAGAGAGGCAGAGGCAGAGGCAGAGGCAGAGAGAGGTCTTCTATCTGCTGGTTCACTCCCCAGATGTCCGCAATGGCTGGGGCTGCGCTGATCTGAAGCCAGGAGCTTCTTCCAGGTCTCCCACACAGGTACACAGGCCCAAGGACTTGGGCCATCTTCCACTCCTTTCCTAGGCCATAGCAGAGAGCTGGATCGGAAGTGGAGCAGCCGGGACTCAAACTGGCACCCATATGGGATGCCAGCACTGCAGGTGGCGGCTTTACCCACTACACCACAGCATTGACCCCAGAAACATTTATCTTTAAAAAGAAAAAAAAGTGAATTATTGGGGCCAGTGCTGTGGTGCAGTAGGTTAAGCCTCTGCAGCACCAACAAGCACTGGTTCACATCTAGGCTGCTCCACTTCCAATCTAGCTCCCAGCTGATAGCCTGGGAGGGCAGAAGAGGATGGCCCAAGTGCTTGGGCTCTTGTACCCACGTGGGAGGCCCAGAAGAAGCTCCTGGCTCCTGGCTCCAGATTGGCCCAGCTCTGACAGTTGCAGCCATTTAGGAAGTGAACCAGGGAACAGAAGATCTTTCTGTCTTTCCTCCTCTTTCTGTAACTTTGTCTCTCAAACAAATAAATAAAATAAAAAATGAATTATTGAATTAGTAAAGACCTAGCTCTGGTTGATAAAACTGAATTAATTCTTGACTTCAGTTCTAAAAATCTGTTGCTAAATGAGTTACCTCATGATGCAGTACCTCAGTTTCAGAAACACACGAACAACACTTTTGTCTAGCTTCTACCTGGGAACTCAGGTGAAAATACTACCATAAAGAAACCAGTCATATTAAATTATGATACATTTAGGAGTGTTACTGGTGTTCTCACCCTTTTATACTTCTAAGTCACCAACACAGGCATTTTTTTTTTTATTTCAAGGGAAAACAAAGCAGCTTAGGTCTGAACATGTTTCCAGCTGCTTCACGAACCAAAGAGGACGCACGTCTTTCTCTTAAATACTAGAATGTTCGGCAATGATTCACAGCCTTTCCTCTGCCTCATGTGTTTAGCAACCCTTTAATGAACATCTACTTGAAACTACTTCTCCCAATTTGTGATCATATTATGGAAATCCCTACGAGGTTAGGAAAATGAGCTGTGCTCACAGTTACCGGCTTGGTCTCCAGCTATCCCTGACAGATGTAAAGCAATGACTTCGGAAGAGTTTCTACTGAAGTCTTGTTTGATGAGAACGGAAACACCAGCACAATGGAAAAATCTCGAGACTTAGTTGGAAAATGTATAACCAAATCTAAAACGCTAAGTCAATTCTTAAAAGTCAACAGTTCTAGCTCTACACCAGATATATAGCAATTGCCCAAATTCCATAAAATATTAGTAAAATACCTCTGAATTACAAACAAGAGTCGCTATAGGGCTCATCTTCTACAAGGGCAGGAAGTTAATAGCTCATTTCTCAGCAACATAATGTAAAATACAGACTTTTACAGATCAAGTAAAACAAAACTGTAAGTGGTAAATTAATGTAACTGAAAATAACTTATGTTTTCAATTCATTCTTCACAAACTAATAAACATTCCAAAGTTATGAACATGAAAACTCTTGCATTCAAACTCCTATAAACTCCTCGGCTTCACCTGTAAATCTGCCTTGCGTCTGTCAAGATCTTGTTTCTCTGCCTTCTATTACTCACCCACTGCATCTGGATTTACCGGTCTGGAGACATCAGCTTGCCCCATGATTAAATTGTCTGATGTATCTCACGACAACCAACTCTCCTGGACAAAGCAAACTTCTTAAAAAGATAAATCCACAAAGGAGGGGACACAGAATCCTCTCTTGGTGTCACTGCCAGACAAGCATCAGGAAATGGCACGAGGTCGGTTAATATGCCCGAGTTTCTAATCCCTGTATCCAGGTCTGGGCACTTGTAGTTCTTTCAAAGATGTCTTCACACAGGCTCTCTTCACACAGGAATGCCTGTCATTCCAGAGTGCACACTGTGTAGAGCTGAAGTGCAGGAAGGGGAGGAGACTGCCAACCACATTCTAGCTGCTGAGCGGCACAGCCCAAAAGTCCACCACACCTCCTCTTCCTGACTTTGAGCCTGGCTGGAACTCTCCAAGCTCAGAGCCACAGAAGAAGCAGCAGCACAGCAAAGAATTTGTAAATTTAATTACACAAAAGCATCAGTGTGGTTATGAGTAGCATGCTCATGGAAACAAGTCCTTCAAAGGCTCTGTTTTAGACACAGACCTCAAAATGTCAGATTGTTCTGGCATTTTATTATAGTTGTCATAGGTTGAATATTTGTATACCCTCTGTAATACTATAAAATAGCTATCTATCTATCTATCTATCTAGTCCATTTGTGGCCATACAGCTCCTAAATTCCTTGGAATCTCCAAAGTGAGAATGTCTTTTCAAATGCTAATTAGTTGACTGATGGTTGGTAGCCTCTAGCTTGCTTCAGGATGGGGGCTGGACCCTCCAAAAAGACCAAAGTAGGATTAGAAATTTAGAACTTTCAGTCCTACCTCCCAAACACAGGGAGGAAAGAGAGGCTGAAGGTTAGGTTGATTGATCACCAATAGCCAATGAGTTAATCAATCATGCCTATGTAATGAAGCCTCTTTTAAAATTCCAAAAGGACTACATGTGGAGAACTTCCTAGATAGCTGAACACTTGGATGTTTCTGGAAGGTGATGCCCCTGGAAAGAGCCTAACTTTTCATCTGGTATTTCATTAGTATCCTTGGTAATATCCTTTGTAACAAACCTATAAGACCACCACAAAACACACCAAACATCTAGTCAAAGGAAAGGTGGGGTACAATACTGACAGGCTGGAGGAGGAGGGAGAAAAGAGGGTGAAAAAGTGGGAGGAGGGGAGAGAGAAAGAGAGAGAGACAGAGAGAGACACAGAGAGAGAGAGATGTGTCAAGAGAGCCCGTGTGTGGGAGGGAAGCAGGTCCTGGTAGGGTGTAGGGAAGTGGGAGCAACGAATTCCATTAGGGTGGGGGTGGAGCTGATGCTTTGGGTCATCTGACACGGAGCTTAAGACAGCACCACAGATAAGACAGCATCATTTTACTAACAAAACCTGTAAATCTAAGTCCGTACCCCAACCCCCACCCCCCAGTTCTGTGAATCACTATAGCAAAATAACTGAATCCTGGGAGAGGATTGTGGGAACTCTGATTTGTAGTTGACTAGTCTTTTTTCTCTTTTTATTAAAGATTTATTTATTTCTTTGAAAGGCAGAGTTACAGAGAGGTAGAGGCAGAGAGACACAGAGAGAGAGAGAGAGAGAGAGAGAGTCAGTCTTCCATTTGCTGGTTCACTCTCCAGATGGCAACAATGGAGATGCGCCGATCCAAAGCCAGCAGCCAGGAGCTCCTACAGGTCTCCCACATGGGTGCAGGGGCCCAAGGACTTGGGCCATCTTCTACTGCTTTCCCAGGCCATAGCTGAGAGCTGGATTGGATGTGGAGTAGCTGGGACTTGAACTGGTGCCTAAATGGGATGCCGGCACTGCAGGCAGCGGCTTTAACTGCTATGCCACAGAGCCGGCCCCAGTTGATTAGTCTTAAGCACAGGTAAAAACAACTTGGGGCTTTGACTGGCAACTAAAGTGTGTGTGGGAGCAGTCTTGGAGCTGTGCCCTCTACCTGCAGGCTCTGATGCATTCTCCAGGTAGATGCTGTCAGAAATGAACTCAGAGGACACTCAGCTGGTGTCCAGTGTTGCATGGGGGAGAGGGGACCCTCAAATATCAGGTGTCAGAAGTATGTTCTGAGACCACAGTGGAAGGAAGGAAGTTTGGTGTTTTTTTCTTTTATTTCCAGATGGCCAAATAAACATGTTGAAATGTTAACTCCCAATATGACACTGTTAGGAGATGGGGTCTTTGGGAGATAATTAGGACATGAAGGTGGAACCCCCAGGAGTGGTTGTAGGGACTTATTAAAAAGTCTCCACTGGTGTAGTGAGTTAAGCCACCGCCTGCAGTGCCGGCATCCCATATGGGTGCCAGTTCGAGACCTAGCTATCACACTTCTGATCCAGCTCTCTGCTTTGGCCTGGGAAAGCAGTAGAAGATGGTCCAAGCCTTGGGCCCCTTCCCCCGCGTGGGAGACCTGGAAGAAGCTCCTGCTCCTGGCTTCAGATTGGTGCAGCTCTGGCCGTTGTGGCCAATTGGGGATTGAACCAACGGATGGAAGACCTCTCTCTCTGCCTTTCCTTCTCTCTCTTGTGTAACTCCACCTTTCAGATAAATACATGAATCTTTAAATAAATTTTAAAAAGTCTCCACAGAGCTCTCTAGTTCTTTCCACCAGAGGGTACATCATTTGGAGGTCAGAAAGAGGGTCTTCACAGACACCAAATCCAAGTGCCTTAATCTTAGACTTCACAGCATCCAGTACTCTGAGAAATAAATGTTTACTATTTAAATAAATCAGTCCATGGTATTTTGTTACAGCAGCTGGAACAAACAATAAATACATCAAAACAAAACAAAACAACCAAATGTACCCTTTCTTAGAATAAAAAGAAACATCTCTGAAAATGTGTTTACTAAAATAGTAAACTTGAAATAAATATTTGGAATGTATTACACAATACTTCTCTTCCTGATAAAGCACAATAACCCACTGTATGATCTTGAGGACAAAAAATTACAGGAAGTAGCCCTAAATGCTGGGGAAATAATACATGGAAATATTAGCTAATCACATGCAGCAACAAAAATCCAGCATGCACACTGCTTTTTCCTTTTTATCATGATATTGCTAACTTACATATAGCTAAATAGAGATATTAAGGATGTAACTGGACAAATCTTTATTTACATACAGACCCGTATATACTAACAATAAATTTTCTAAATATAAAGAAGACACACACTTGTCCAGTGTTGTGGCTCAATAGGCTAAGCCACCACCTGCCAGCATCCCATATGAGCACCAATTTGAGCCCCGGCGGCACCACTTCTGATCAAGCTCCCTGCTAATCTGCCTGGAAGAAAGCAGTGGAAGATGGCCCAGTCCACTGGATCCCTGCCACCCACATGGCAGACTCAGATGAAGATCCAGGCTCCTGGCTTTGGCCTGGCCCAGACTCAGTGGTTGCAGCCAATTGGGGAATGAACCAGTGGATGATTTCTCTCTTCCTCTCTCTAACTCTGCCTTTCAAATAAATAAATAAATCTTAAAAAAAAAAAAAAAACCACACATAACACAACACTTATATACCTTGTATTATGTTACAAACACCCGAGGTAAAAGAGGTAACTAATATTTTGAGCACTATATTAAAAAGTTCTATACTTATTTCATTTAATCATCATTATAACTAGCTCTGCATTGTAAGAGATGTATTATCTACCTTATTTTCAGATAAGAAAAGTAGGATGAGGAGTTCAAATACTGTGTCTTACATTGCCAAGTTTCTAAGTATCAAAGTCTAATATTCTTTCAACAAAAAAGTTACCAAAAAATAGAGGTTTTAGTTTAAGTCTTTGTGGTCCAAACTGAGGTCCTAGAAAGATTTCTAGTATCTAGACTTTCCCCTAAGCCTTTTTCCCCTTCATTATGACATTGCTAAACAGTTAAAAAATGTGCACAAGTACTCAGGCAACATTCAACTGTTAGTACTGGTATTAGTGAAGAAAACATGATGTTGACCATCAAAATAGGAAGGAGAGTAAAAAGAAAAACACACTGAAAGAACGATCCTATCTGAGTATCACTCTTTGGAACACAGGCACTATATTTACACATGTAGAAGCAGACCATTTGCAACAGCAGTTTCTACCACTGTGAAATAGAGACGTGAAAGGTAGCAAATGCATTGCTTGGGTGCCCAGGAGGGACTCAATACAGTTGCAGTTATCAACATCGTTATCAATATCATCATTATGGAGTCGATACTGAATACTGTTTAAGTGTGTCAGAGTTGGAGTCTGACTGAAACTTTAATTACATCTCTATCACTTTTTAGATGTTAAAACTAGGCAAGTTACTTCACTTGTCTGAGCCTTGGTTTTCTAATTATTATTATTTTTTAAAAGATTTATTTATTTTATTTGAAAGGCAGAGGTACAGAGAGAAGGAAAGACAAAGAGAAAGGTCTCCCATCTGCTGGTTCATGCCCCAAGTGGCCATAACAGTCAGGGCTCAGTCAGACTGAAGCCAGGAGCCTGGGACTCTATCTAGGTCTCCCACGTGGGTCATCCTCTGCTGCTTTCTCAGGTGCACTAGCAGGGAGCTGCATAGGAAGTGGAGCAGCCAGGATGTGAACTGGCACCACAGGGGATGCCAGACTGGTGGTGGCTTAACCTGCTGCACCCCAGGTTTCCTAATTTTTAAGAAGAGTACAGCAATACTTAGCAATACAAGGTAGTTGCAGAATTAAATGACATAACATAAAGAGCTCTGTCACTGGTACCTGGAAAACTCTTAAAAGCAAGCAATAATCTCTATAGTTGTTCCAGTAAAAAGACAAATCAAGAAAGGAGAGGCTGGGTCAGGAGCAGCTAAGTGACAGTACATTGCAAAAAACTGTCAGTACAAAGAGGTTAGTTAGAATAGGAAGAGGATGACATTTCTGTGCCATCAACAGAGACAGCATACAAGAACAAGCAGACCAGGAAGGAAGTCTGCACAGAATCACCACTGGTGTTCAGAAACACCACACAGATGGAATGGCCCAGAAGAAAGTATTAGCTCTAATATCTAGGTACATTCAAACTAGACATATTAAATCCTTCCCCAACATACAGCCCAGAAAGAGTACCTTAGAATCTGGTTTCTGTAGACAGGACCATACAAGAGAACAGAGAGACTTATGAATCCTGGTATAGCTGCTGAAACCCCTACCATATTTTCATTGTTTATTTATTTGAGAGGTAAGAAAGAGAGAGAGAGAGAGACTGAAAAAGAGAGAGAGGAGATAGCACCTATCCACTGGTTCACTCCCCAGATGCCTGTGATATATAAGAGCTAGGAACTCAATTCAGATTTTCCACAAGGGTGGCAGAAATCCAATCACTTCAGTCGTCATTGCTGCTTCTTAGGGCCTGTGCTGGCAGGGAGCTGGAGTCAGGAGTCAAAAGTGGGAATCGAACCCAGCATTTTGCTGTGTGATGTTGGCATCCCAAGTGGCATCTTAACTGCTGTGTCAAACTCCTGCCCTGACAATTCCCTCTTACTATTTCTTAGCTAATAAAAGAAACTCTTTTGGGCCGGCGCTGCGGCTCACTAGGCTAATCCTCCGCCTGCGGCGTTGGCACACCGGGTTCTAATCCCGGTCGGGGCGCCGGATTCTATCCCAGTTGCTCCTCTTCCAGTCCAGCTCTCTGCTGTGGCCCGGGAGTGCAGTGGAGGATGGCCCAAGTGCTTGTGCCCTGTACCCGCATGGGAGACCAGGAGAAGCACCTGGCTCCTGGCTTCAGATCAGCGTGGTGCGCCGGCTGCAGCGGCCATTGGAGGGTAAACCAACGGAAAAGGAAGACCTTTCTCTCTGTCTCTCTTTCTCTCACTGTCCACTCTGCCTGTCAAAAAAAAAAAAAAAAAAAAAAAAAAAAAAAAAAACTCTTTTGTAAACTTTATCTATTTTTAAATTTATTTCTTAATTTATTTGACAAATATAGTTGACAGTGAGAGAGAGACAGAGAGAAGGTCTTCAGTTGGTTCACCCCCCAAATGGCCGTCACGGTTGGAGCTATGCCAATCCAAAGCCAGGAGCCAGGCGCCTCCTCCTGGTCTCCCAAGCACTTGGGCCATCCTCCACTGCCTTCCCAGGCCACAGCAGAGAGCTGGACTGGAAGAGAAACAACCAGGACTAGAACCCGGTGCCCAATGGGATGCTGGCGCCGTAGGTGGAGGATTAACCAAGTGAGCCATGGTGCTGGCTCCTTATTTATCTATCTATTAAAGACAGACATAGAGAACTCCCACCTACTGGCTTCACTCAGTGGTTTAATGGCTGCGGTTGACAGGGGTAAAAGCTAGGAATACAATCTAAGTCTCCCACATTATTGGTAGGAACTCGATCACCACCCCTGCCTCCCAGAGTTAGCATTAGAAGAAAGATGGAGTCAAGAGCTGGAGC